TCAAGCCTTTAGATCCAATACCAATAATCAAAAATATGGAGGTTCTTACCACCACAAGGAAGCAATCAGGTAATCCAGACATTGGGACATTCTAGAGAACAACTATCTTGGTCTTTCCAAGTCAATGTCATAAGAAAAATAAAAAGCTAGGGAGTGTGAGAGGGAGATGAGGAGGGACAGGAAAGGGGTTGTCTATTCTAGATTAAAATACACTTCAGAGACCCAACAACCAAGTGTAATCATGGTTCTTGATTGGATCCTAACATGAACAATCTTGCTGCAAAAGACATTTTGGGGACAAGTGGGGGAAACTTCGGTGTGTTGATACAATTGTGGTTATGAAGGAAAGTGTTCTTATTTAGACATGCATATTAAAATATTTAGGAGTTGGGCCGGCCCCATGGCTTAGTGGTTAAGGGCGCGCGTTCCGCTACTGGTGGCCCGGGTTCGGATCCCGGGCGCGCACCGACGCACCGCTTCTCCGGCCATGCTGAGGCTGCGTCCCACATACAGCAACTAGAAGGATGTGCAGCTACGACATACAACTGTCTACTGGGGCTTTGGGGGAAAAAATAAATAAATAAATAAAAATTTTTCAAAATAAAATATTTAGGAGTGAAATGTCATGATATCTGTATTTACTTTAAAAGATTTCAACAAAAAATAGGTGAAACATGACAAAATGCTAAAACAATCATTAAATTTGGTGATAGGTATATGGGGATTATTATGCTATTCTCTCTACTTTTCTGCACAATTATAATTTTCATAATAAGCATGAAAAGTATTTTTACTATCTAGCATTTGTGAGGGTTTGAGGAAACAGACCATCCCATAAGTATTGTTGTCTGGAGTGTAAATTGGTATAACCTTCTTAGAGGACAATTTGGAATACATAAATTTTATTTTAAAATATACATACCGTGGGGCTGGCCCAGTGGCATAGTGGTTGAGTTTGCATGCTCCATTCAGGTGGCCCAGGGTTCACGGGTTCAGATCCCGCAGGTTCGGATCCTGGGCACGGAGCTATGTACCACTTATCAAGCCATGCTGTGGCAGTGTCCCACGTATGAAAAGTAGAGGAAGATGGGCATGGAAGTTCACCCAGGGCCAACCTTCCACAGCCAAAAGAGGAGGATTAGCAACAAATGTTAGCTCAGGGCTAATCTTCCTCACACACACACACACACACACAAAAATACCCATTGACATGGTAATCCCATCATTAAGAATCTATTCAATGACTAGTGACACAAGTATAGAGGATGTATGTATAAGGATGTTTACTATAGTATTATTTATAATATAAACAAATTTGAGACAATAGGGAAATGGTTAAATATATTTTGACCATATATTTTATACTACCTGTGACAAAGAAAACCATACTCCTGTTAAAAATAACAAAGTAGGTGCATATTTACTGTATTGGTTTGCTAGGGCTGCCATAAGAAAGTACTACAACTGGATGGGAGGCTTAAACAACAGAAATTTATTTTCTCACAGTTCTGGAGGCTAGAAGTCTGAGACAAGGTGCCCGCAGGGTTGGTTTCTTCTGAGGCCTCTGTTCTTGGCTTGTAAATGGCCGTCTTCTCCCTGTGACTTCATATGGTCTTCCCTCTGTGCCCATCTGTGTCCAAATTTCCTCTTCTTAAAAGGACATCAGTTGTTTTGGAGTAGGGGCCACACTAATGAACTCATTTAAACTTAATTATTTCTTTAAAGACCTTATCTCCAAATACAGTCACATTCTGAGGTACTGGGAGTTAGAACTTCAACATATGAAATTTGGGGGCACACAATCTAGTCCATAACATTGAATGACATGGAAAGATATTCATGATTTTTAGGTTAAAAAAATCAAGGAGCAGAACAAATGTACAGTATGATCTTTTCTTTTTCAAAATTAAAAAACAGTAAAGACAAAACCTCTGGTATATGTGTATATGCAGTTTGGAGTACATTGAAAACATTCTGAAAGGGTAGATACCTAGCTATTAATAATGGTTCCCTGGGGAATAAAACTGGAGTTAGGGATGGAAGGGAAGGACAGATTTCCACTTTTACTTCTTTTCGTTTTTTGTTTTTTTGTGTGTGAGGAAGATTTGCTCTGAGCTAACATCTGTTGCCAATCTTCCTCTTTTTTTGCTGGAGGAAGATTAGCACTGACCTAACATCTAAGCCAATCTTCCTCTATTTTATACATGGGTCGCCACCACAACATGGCTTGTTGAGTGGTGTAGGTCTATGCCTGAGATCTGAACCCCCAAACCCAGGCTACCTAAGTGGAATGTGCCAGACTTAACCGCTACGCCATGGGGCCAGCCCCTTTCCACTCTTTTTTTACAAGCATGGGTTACTTTTATAATTGGAAAATTTTAGCTTAAAAAATACAGCTACAATGTAGGCCCCCAAAAAGGGAACATATATTCTTCCTTGGAAGAAAGTGTCCTTATTGAAACGAGAGTTGAGGACTGGCATTCAACACCAGGTAGATTAACAAAGACAAGAAAATGTGACGAAAAACAACTAAAACTGAGCCAACTACAAATAACATAAAAGGGAATAAAAAAGTATTGTTCTGATATTGACTTTGATAATTCAATAAATAGAGTTGTAAAGCTGTCTTTGAAACACTTGATTTCACTGAACTGGTAAAATTAAAAGTGGAGTTCACCTGGGCCAGCCCCCTGGCTTAGCAGTTAAGTGTGCGCTCCGCTACTGGCGGCCCGGGTTCGGCTCCCGGGCGCGCATCGACACACTGCTTGTCCGGCCATGCTGAGGCCGCGTCCCACATACAGCAACTAAAAGGATGTGCAACTATGACATATAACTATCTACTGGGGCTTTGGGGAAAAAAAAGGAGGAGGATTGGCAATAGATGTTAGCTCAGAGCCGGTCTTCCTCAGCAAAAAGAGGAGGATTAGCACGGATGTTAGCTCAGGGCTGATCTTCCTCACACACACACACACACACAAAAAGCGGAGTTCACTTCTCTTCCAAATTACCGCAGCAAGTAAGAGCAAACAAAGCATTCTAAACAGTTAAAATAAGAGAAAAAGGAAGGAAGGAGAAGAAATATTTCAAAATTAAATACATAAACAAAGAGAAAAAATTAAAAGAGTTATGGTGACCAACGTAAATAAGAGTTAAGTTTATTGAGTCCTATGTGGCTGGCACTGTGCTAAGTGCCCTACACTGTGCAGATAACAGAATTTGCCTGCAACTCTTTATGACTTTTGTATCTGAAACAAGACTAAGCCCTGAAGAGACGCTATGCAGCTAGCAACAAATGTCTTGGTTAGAAACCTCAAGTAAAGGAGACTTTCTGCCTCCCAGACTGGCAAGATTCCCTTGGCTGTGGGGAAATGGGGAGAGGTGGGGAGAACTAGCTCTGTGGTGCATCTGGGCTGAGAAGGCCACAGGCCGCACAATGAGCCCCAGATAAGACCTGGAGGCAGCAGAAACCCTCCAGGCGTAGGGGCCAAGAGGACAGGAAGGTGGACTTACTAGGGCCCGGGACCAGATGTATACCATCTGCCCTCCCTCTCCCAATACCTTGGCACCATCTCAAGAACTGGGGAGGGAGACCCAGGATGACCAAGACTGTCTTTGTCTGACAGCTCAGAATAATAAGGGGCTCAGGGTCAAAAATTAAGTTTTAGAAAATAAAGTGGTATTTCTTGCATGGCTGAATTTTTGGACTGAGATTCATATTGGCTAGACACACTCCTCTTACAATCCTATTATTTTCATTTTTATGGATGAGGAAAGGGCCTTTTAAGGTTAATTTTCCTGAGGTCACAAAAGTAGTAAGTAGCTAGACTAGAACGCAAATTTGGGTCTCCCTCACACTGAAACCCATGCTAGATACAACTCTCTGCTGCCTGGAATAGGTTTTGCCTTCTCCCTATCACGTGCACCCAATCCCTGCTCCCACATCTTGCTAATTTAGGCAGCATCCCCTCGTCTAGGAAGCCACTATTGAGCATCCCCCCCAAGTTTAGGTGGCCCTCTTTAAGCCTCCCTAAATCCCCTATTCTCATCTATATCACAGACCATACTGTATTTTAATACTCTCTGTATGTTTTTTCTCCTCTACCAGAAACTCCTCCAAGTTTCTGAACTTGGTTGGAGAACACATCTGGTTTCGTGAGCCATTAAAGCAACCAAAGCCTAACACTGTGCTTGGCACCGATTAGGTTTTCAGTAAATATTTTTGAATGAATGAATGAATGAATAATTCAATAAGTAATCTCGTTGATTTTCTATGACTCTGGGTCACATTCCGGGAAAGAGCAGTTTCTTGACATCCTTTTCCTGGTAATAATTTAGTGTTTTAAATAATTTCTACGTTTTAGTATTTTAAAATTCGTCATTATTTTCCCATTTTCATCCTCATACTCACATGACACATGACCTCCACTATTTGAAAGTGTGATATTTTGATTCAGCCTTGGATTTTTCCTCCTATTGCAAACTGCTAGGATTCCTTGCAACGTCCGTTACTTGATTGCCATCATGTCAAGAATCAGGGGGAGGTACTTAGAGGTGAAGTGAACAGTTAGCCTCCGATTTACAAGCTAGCTTTTCCCCGGGATAATTGTAAAGCCACACGTTCCTGGGTGTGACCCTCTCACGACATAATCTCCTTAACGAGTGATTGATTACTTTACGTATGACTATGGCTAATTAAAGATGTGGGATAATTTTAGAGTTAAAATAGTATTGCTAGTCAAGGTTATGATCTTTTAAAAAATATACGTTACAGGTTCTCATTAGAGAAACAAGGAAAACATATTCCAAACTACCTTCGAAGCGGTTTGCCTGGATTGGTAGTACCACGGACAAAGAAGGGGACCAAACACTCGCTCGCATCGGCGTTTGCAGAGCCGGCGCCCCTGTGGGCGGGGCCACCGGAGCCTCCCGGGACCCAAAGGAGGAGGGGGCGGGGTCGAGGGCGGGTCCAGGCCTCCAGGGGCGGGGCCGCAGCAGGCGAAGGGCAGGCTGGGAAGCGGCGCCATATTGGCGTCGGCCGCGCTGTATTGTCATAAATAGAGCCGGTTTTGTGGTGTTTTCACTACTCAGTTGGATGCCTCGGCCGTAGTGAGTGAGAGGGTGAGCGAGCAGGCGAGCTGCAAGGACCGGAGGAAAGTGGACAGGAGGGAGAAGGGAAGAGCAAGAACAGGACTCCAGAGCGAAAGACACTCGCTGGGGAGGGAGACGCGACGCAGGAAGCGATGAAAGAGATGTCTGCGTAAGTGGTGGGGGGCGGCGGTTGGGGGCGAGGCGGAGAGGGGTGGGCTGGGGTGGTCGGCGGGGGACCCCGTTTCCGTTTCCTGCCCCCCGGACCCTGCTTGGAGCTTTCCCGGTTGGTCTCCTTCCCCTGTCCTGGCCAGTCGGCAAGGGCACCTCCCCTACACACTGGCTACTCACCTGGCCACCTCTGCACAGCCTCGGGGAGTCCAGGAGTCCCTGTCTGTCCCCGGCTGTCCCGCCTCCGAGGACGCCCCCAGACAAGGATGCGGCGGAAGAGAGGCGCATGTGTCCATGGGGAGAAATTGTCGGTGACTCTCCTGCCCCCAGCGCTGTCTCGGCCGTCTCTGCTCCTGTCTGCATTGGCGCAAATACCATCCCCCTACCTCCCCCTCTTCCCTTCCCGACCGGCTGTCTCCAAGTCTTCAGAAGAGAATGACCTATCCCAGCCCATGGGTTTCTCTTTAATAAAGGCTATGGTGTCCTCGCCCTCCCCCGGCCTCGCCAAGTACTCACAATATATCTACCGGTCTGTACCTCCTGCTCAAATTTTGATAAGTTAAAAACGGTTTCTGTGCTTGGCAAGATTTTATTGTAGCTTCTTACATTTTGGTTTATTAGGAAATACTTTAAACATACAGAAAAATAGAATAACATAAGTCTCATTTGTGTAGCCACCATCCATGTCTCCCAAAGCATAACATTCTATATGTCTGTGTGTACACACATCTTTATTTAAAGGAAATCAAGCATTTCAAATACATCTGAAGGAGTCTCCTGTCTCCTTCTCTGGTCCCATTCACCTCTCCGCAGAGTTCCCCACAGTCCTGATTTTGATGTTATTGCTGCATGTTTTTTTATGCTATTACTACATATGTGTGTGTCCATAGTAACTGGCATTTACTTTTTTTTAAGCTTTATATAGCTAGTATCACGCTTGACATTCTGCAACTTCTTTAGTGCAACATAGTATCGTTGAGCTTTGTCCATGTTAATATTTTCACCTCTAATTAATTCAGTTAGCTACTGTATTGTATTCCATTGTAGAGATAACACCCTAATTTAGTTCTTTTCCTGTGAGTGACTTTTGTAGGTCGTTTCTGAGTTTTTAATGTTACAGTGTGGCAGTGAACATTCTTGGACATGTTTCCTTGTACAGTTGTACTAGAATTTCTCTAGGGTGTTTACCTATAAGTGAAATTGATGGGTTGAAGGGATGTGGGATTCTGTTGCTTGCCTTTTTTTTTTCTGTCTAGATGAGGGAGGGTTCAGAACCATAGATTTGGAATTTTAGTGCTAGTAGAGACCTTGATTGCTAACTTTTTCAGCATACAGATAATAAAGTGGGACCCAAGATCATAGTATCAGAACTAAAGTACTTATGGAAGAGAGAATGGAGTGGCGGAAAGATCTTGGGTTTTGGAGTTCAGATTCTGGCTCTTCCTTTTCCTAATCTTGGGTATTTATCTGTAAAATAGCACTTACTCAGTACCTACCTCTCAGGGTAATTGTTGAGATTAATTTAATGATCTTATATAATCAGTCTGTCCCGTCCATTTACCATCACATATAAACACACACAAACAATACCAAATACTTTTCTAGCTCTCTTAGAGGTAAAAAGCTAAATCTTTAAAAAGAAGTTACAACTTGAAATAACTAATTGAAATTTTGTTTGTTCTGCAGCAAAATAAATACCGGAAAGAAATTAAAGTCACTAGTATTGATGTTTCTGTTTTGTTTCTCTGAGTCATTTTGGAAGGTATATAGGCTATTTTATCTTCCATTTGATTCTCCTTCCCTACCTAATGAAATATTTAGCTAAAGAGCATGCCTTACTGTATGAACTCAGTAGTGATAAGCCAATGTTTTGACAGTTAAAATTCTAAAACAATCAGTCACTCTTGTATTTTTGTGTATTATTGTTTACAGGGCTAATTTATTCATTTAAAAGACTGCTCTTTATTTTGAAATTAAATTCTTACTATTAGTGTTAATGGAAGATAGATGGTAGGATTAGTTGGTGATTGTGTATGTTTGCTTTTACTTTCCTTTCTTAGCAAAATAAAAAGTTTTACCAGCTCGTGTTGTTCCCAAAATTTATTGTGAAATTATTGGTCTGTGTAAATCCAAAATCTCAGAAATTCTGTTGCATTTTATTTGACTATAATTTCCTGATGACTAGGATCTTTTGATGGGTGCCTTGTATGTATTCTATCCTATAAAAAGTTGCCATTTAGTGTAAAGGATTTGATAATTATTCAGTGTGAAAATAGTCTGGGTACCAGTCTAAATGAAGAGAAAATTAACTAGAGTCACAAAATGTTAGGACTGTAAACTCTGATTCAAGCAAAGGATGTTAATGTAGGTTTCTCAAGGACAAATTTGGTTGTGATTTCTTTTTAAAAGGCAGAATATTTCACAAAGACATTCTAATGGGATGTTTTTGTTTCTTTCCTGAGGGGGGAAAGCCGTTGTTTTTGCTTAGAGCTTTCTTTCAAATGGCTCACTGCTTTTCAGTGATTGAATCTAGATGGTACTTGACTTAAGTCTGCAGGGTATAGTGGAGGTGGCCCTGGCCCAGCTCCCATTCAGGCTCTTTGCATTTCAGTTCAGTGGTGTTGGCACAGTTGTCCTGATGCCAACACATGCTGCTTTTGGCTTGAAAAGACATCCTAACCATGAAAGCTGGAGGCAGTATGAATAGCTCTTCATCAACATAAACACAAAATATACTTTTTTCCTTAAAAGAAAAGGTGCCTGCCCTGACTTTTAGTACTAAGTAAATTTTTAAGGTAGCTAAATTAATGAGTGGATTGAGAGATTCAATATATCAGTGTGATATGATACTTTAAATTTTTTCTGCTGTTTCATTTTTCTTGAACAGAAACACCATGCTGGACAGCCAGCGTCAACAGAAGCATTATGGAATCACTTCTCCAATTAGCTTGGCATGTCCTAAAGAAATTGATCATATTTACACACAGAAATTAATTGATGCCATGAAACCATTTGGAGTGTTTGAAGATGAGGAAGAATTGAACCACAGGTGTGTCATTTAAAAATATAAAATGTTTTACAATATATTATTTAATCATTAATTCTACACGCATATTTCAAGTACTTACTATGTCCCTGTCTAGGGATACAAAAATGACAAAATGAAGAGAAATCTTGGCTCTCCTGGAGATTACATTTTAGGTGGAGGTTAGGGGAGGAGACTAACAATTAGCCAAATAAGTAAAATAAATACAATGTTACCCATAAGTGCTGCTGAGAAAAGTAAAGCTGGGAGTGGAAGGCCTCATTGACATTTGAGGGAAAATTCGAAGGTGGAGAGAGACCTATGTGGATATCTGAGGGAAGAGCATTCTAAGTGGAAGGCTTGGGGTGGAGTGTACCTGGTATATTTAAGGACTACATAGCAAGGTAGCCTGAGTATCTGAAGCAGAGTGAGTAAGCAGGGAATGTGGGCTTAAAGAAAGTATGGTGAGGAGGAGCTTGGAGGGCAAGGTCTCTTAGGACCTCGTAAGCTGTTATAAAGGTTTTGGCTTTTCTTCTTTCGTGTGTGTGTGTGAGGAAGACCAGCCCTGAGCTAACATCCGATGCCAGTCCTCCTTTTTTTGCTGAGGAAGATTGGCCCTGGGCTAATATCCGTGCTCATCTTCCTCTACTTTATATGGGACACCGCCACAGCATGGCTTGACAAGCGGTGTGTTGGCGCGAGCCAGGGATCCAAACCTGCGAACCCTGTGCCGCCAAAGCAGAGCACGTGCACCTAACTGCTGTGCTGCCGGGCTGGCCCCTTGGCTTTTATTCTGAGTGAAATGGGAAGCTATTAGGGTTTTGAGCAGAAAATTGATGTGATTTACTCATGTTTTAACACAGTCATTCTGGCTAATGTATTGAGAATAGTCTGAACAGAGGTCAAGGAGAGAATTGGGGAGACTAGTAAGGAAACTGTTATAATAAACCAGGGAGGAAATGGTGGTGACCGGAACTAAGGGGGTGGCAGTGGAGGTGATAAAAAGTAGCAGAATTCTGGATATATTTTAAAGGTAGAGTTGTTTAATGACTGTGGAATGTGTGTGAGAGAGAGAGGGAGGGGGACAGTCAAGGATGATGCCAAGATTCTTGGTTTCAGCACCCAGAAGGATGGAATTCCATTACCTGGGGAAGGCTAAGGGAGAAGCAGGTTTGAACAGATCAGAAATTCAGTTTTCCTATGTTATCTTTGAGGTGCCTAAACTCTACTTTTCTTTCCTTCTCTTTTTTTTTAATGTGGATTTGGATATTCCATTGGTTGCAAGTTTTGTTTGGTTTATATCAAATTGCTTTTATTAAGTAATACTATTTCATAAAAATTAGCCAATAATTAATTTACCCGTTTTAATTACCCAAAGACCTATGACTGTCACTTAGAGAATGCTAATCTCTCTTATTACCACATTGAATTGATTTTATTCCACAGTGAGGCCAAGAAAGTTGACAATTCAGTTGGCCTCTGCACCTTTATTGAAGGTAATTTAAGATTTTTTGGGGAGGCTCAGGGGGGCAAGATCAGCGCTGAGCTAACATACGTCACCAATCCTCCTCTTTTTGCTGAGGAAGATTGGCCCTGGGCTAATATCCGTGCCCATCTTCCTCTACTTTATATGGGACGCCGCCACAGCATGGCTTGACAAGCAGTGTGTTGGTGCGCGCCCGGGATCCGAACCTGCGAACCTTGGGCTGCCAAAGCGGAGCGCGCACACTTAACTGCTACGCCGCCCGGCTGGCCCCGATAATTTTAATTTTTTAATAGGCTTTTTGAGTTTTGAAAATAGCTCAAAGACCAAAATACTATCATCACATTTATTGTCTCTTTGGAACTCTTAGGGACCTAAAGAATGCCAAAGAGATGTGCCATGCATCAACAAATGTGATAGCATTAGCACGTGTATAATATGCTTTTATTCTAGCACCAACACAAAGGTACTGCCTATATGTTTAATTTTTTTTAAATACTGTTTTGTTTTGTTTTTTTAGTTTTAATCTAAAGCATGTTATTTTTTATTATAGGCTGGTTGTTCTTGGTAAATTGAACAATTTAGTGAAAGAATGGATTTCCGATGTCAGTGAGAGTAAGGTAAGACTCTAAACTGCACTGAATTCATAGTTTCATTATGTCCTGGTCATTAGTCCTGGTAATAAGATGCAGGAGTTAAGAATAATCGAACATACATTAAAACTTGCTTTTTGGTATACTTGGTAATGAATTGGTTTAGATGGTTGAGTCTCTGAATGAGGATTTACCCCAGAAGTAGCCAATGTCTAGCTACAATTCCACATAAATGTCTTAACTCACATGTAGTGGATCAAAATTTAAATATCAAGAGATTTTACTTTAAAAGCCAGATTTCAGACTTCTTGTGAAATACAGGATCTGGCAACACTGGGCCTGCCTTTGTGCAAGGCAGGAAGAAGCTTGAATGGAATTTGGCTCCTGCCCTCCAGTGCATTGTGGCCCCCACCAGCCTCTGCTCTGTCTGATACAGCAACTATCATTTATCAGTCAGTTTCTGTGTTTCTTATGTGTACTTCCCTTATTTGTGTACCTGCCTGGCCCCTGAGACATAGGCGTTTACGAACCCTAATTTATAGTTATATAACTTTGCCCCCCTCCTTTATCTTACCTATTTTTCTTCTAAAATCGATTACCTTTTTCTTGCTTTCTTCGAGTATTTTGAATGTAATTGAATTTTCATTTGTCTGAGAATCATCGCTATGAATATTATTTTACTGACTGTACTTAAATAAGGTAGGACATGTTCAACTGGGTGATACCATTTGCCCCTTCACTAAGTGGCCCAAACTTAAGTTTTTTGTTTGTTTTTTATAGTTTTCCCATCTTTCCCTTAACAGCAATCAGCTGCAAGTTAATGTCTCAAAGCAGTCAGTGTGTCTCTCTATAAACTCCCTGTCTGCCCCTTAATCTGCATGGTTTTAGAAATTAGATAAACACCTGTTACAATTCTTTCACTATTTTTATTATTTTCTTTCTATACCTATGATACATATTTAAAATTGGTTCTTTTAAACAGTGCATTCTGAATAAGATTATGAAGGACTCTGCTAAGTCTACAGTCATTGAGTTTAAATAAGTGGCCTTTATGCTATTTACTTTTGCTGCCAAACAGCTGTCTGGCTCATTTCTGAGCTTTCAGCAGGGTTATCAATAGTTGAGGTTTTCATGCAAGTTGAATTCTGAGCAGGTGAAATACTAGTCATTAGTAATAAAAAAAAAATTCATGTTTGTTTCTCTGCTACTACTTAAGAAAAAAACCTGTCTTATTCACCTGCACAACCTCAGGACAGAGCTCAGGCATTGAATAAATGTTAGGAGAACCTGTCGTTCCTCTCGAATCAGTCCATAATTACTCTTGGTGTGCAAACCAAATACTCAACTTGCTAGAATTATTTTAAAATCAGAGTAACAAGTTTTATGACTTCTTGTGTATGGTCCTTATATCAACTATTGTGGTTGTGCTGAGGTCTTTGTTTCCATCCCCATTCTAAGATGCATTCAAGGTAAGTCAAGTGTTATTATTCGCAAAAGAGGCTAGATTAATTTGTTGAGGTGTACCTACCTAATTTTCTTACTACGTGGTTTCTTTGTACTTAAAAGAAAAATCCAGTAGAATTCTCTTCTATGGTCAAAAGTTTTGTTTTTTTTTTTGATTTAGTTGCCTTCTCTCCCCTTTTACTCACATCAGTGCTTTAATCTGCAAAAACCAGTAGCTGGTTTCTATTTAATTTTTAGGCATGAAACCATTGTTAAAAATTTGAGACTTTAAAAGCAAAGTAAATAAAATATCTAATTATTAAAAAAACTTAAATTGGTTTTAACATCTTCCATTGCATGGATAAGGTGATTGGTCATTTTCTGTATCAATTATCATTCCCTTTCATTTATGCATATTTTAGTTTGGAAAATATCTGAAGGATTTGAGTTAGACCAAGGATCATTTGAATATTCTACACACAATTGGGATATTTAAACTTTAAAGAGTCTAGAACTCCAAATCAAATCATTTTGGTTAAATATTTGGTTTGTGGCAAAAATATTTTACTCTGTGATTCAGTGTATCACTTTCTCATAAATCATGCAAGAATCACGCTTTTCAAAGTAGGAAGGTAAATTAAAAGATAACGTAGGAGGGTAACCTAAAAGATCTTGTCTTCTCTGTCCTTTTGGTTCTTGTTAATCATCAATAGGTTTACTGACTCCTTTTTAGTTATAAAATTACTTGTGATACTCTTGAAGCACTAATATCCATTAAACAGAGGAGGTAACAACCATAATATCCTGTTACACAGATACTTTTATTCAAGTTAATCAGCAGATATTATTCTTTGCAACTTGCACTGGGCATTATGGGGAAATAAGAGAAGTAGTAGACACTTCTCACCTTCAAGGAATTTAAATACAGTTGAAGAGATGGGACTTACATACAGCAAAAAAAAAAGGTCAATACAAGTAGTATAAAAGAAGTTAAAGATAATAATAGTAGAGGAGCACAGAGGGTAAAATGAGCTTGTTATGGAGGTGGGGATAATTAGAGAAGGCTTCATGAAAGAGGTGGAACTTGAAGTGTGAACTTTGAAAAATAGGTGGTCTTGAGATACTCAAGATGGACAAGCATTCGAGGCAGGGGAAATGGCAAATGTCATGGAAAGGTGATTTACAGATTGTGTAACATGTTGGCAGTTGAAGCTTCAGAAGGGAAGATCAGGAGACAAGGCAAGAAAGATCCATAGGAACATATTAATTGGAGAGCCTTAGGATCCAAGGATCCTTAACCTCAGTAGTCAGAGAAGAATGCCTCGCAAGTTTTGAGCAGAAGAGTTATGTAATAGAGTAATTTAAGAACATCAGCCAGTGAATTTTATGCGAAGTGGAGTAAGAGAAAGTAAAGACTAAGGGCAAGAGGATAGCTTATGATACTATTAAATAGCTGGAATTAGGGGGTTGGTAGTTAAATAGAAAGGAGGCAACATGTGAGGGATATAAACTAAGAATTGCTAAGCCAAGAAGAAGAGTAATGACTGTAGGTGTGGGCAGTAAGGAAAATGAGGAACAGAAATAGAGAAATCAGGAGGGATGCCTGGTTTATCATAGGAAGAATTTTTTGCTTGTTTGAGGTACGAATGTTGAAGTGAATCAGAATGTCTAAGTGAAAATATCTGATGGGCATTGAGAATTGGCTCTAGAGAATGGTGAAAAGTAGCATTATACTTCTGGTACAATCAAAAAGATGTTAATTAAAGTTGTTAGATTAGCTCTCATAAGATCCTGTCAAGAATGATCCCACTTTCTCGAAGAAAAGTTGCAGAGCTAGAATCAAGAAATTAAGCACATCCGTCACAAAAACTAAAGAGGAGATGGGACTAGTCAAGAGTATGATATTGTAGAGAGTTGAAAGTGTATTAGTTTGGTAGTTAAGAGTTGTTTGGTGACTGTTGAGAGTGATGGAGCCAAAGACAGGCAATTGGAGGGGACAAGTAGGGTCAAGTGATAAAAAATGTTTTTCTTAAGATAGAGATGTGTGCATGTATTTGTTTTGTCTTCCCTCTGGGAATACCCTCATTACTTCAAGCTGCACCCAAAAGAGCTCTGAAGTACTTTTACACATCTCAGTTTACCAAAGTTGACAAATGTATTATATATCAGTAGCGTTTAGGCAATTTTTATGCTAAATAATTTGAACAATTGAATGCCTTTTGTTTAATTTTATTTTATTTTAGAATCTCCCACCTTCTGTTGTTGCTACTGTTGGTGGTAAAATTTTCACGTTCGGCTCCTATAGGCTTGGAGTACACACGAAAGGTAACTGCTTTTCTGTGTTCTACTTATAACTTTCAGTAACAAACTCTTATTTGTTGTCCATAATTAAGAAATACAGCAGAAAAAATTCCCGGTATCTCACTAGTCAGAGCTAATCATTGTTAACATTTTCCTATATTCATCTTACATACTTCTGTACATGTGTTTGTGTATATTTTAACAAGAATATAATACATAATATACTCTTCTTGATAAGAAATACTTTGATTTGCAGGAGCTGACATTGATGCACTTTGTGTAGCTCCAAGACATGTGGAGAGATCTGATTTTTTTCAGTCTTTTTTTGAAAAATTGAAACATCAAGATGGCATTAGAAATTTAAGAGTAAGTATCCTAGGATATTTAATATTTTGAACTCGTTAACAAATAATGTAAAAGCTAGGGCTTATGGTTGTTGAAATATTTCTTAAGAAATTGCTATATTGTTAAAATAATGGATAATGATTAAGAACATGGGCTTTATAGTTATATAGACCTGGGTTTGAATCTAGAATCTACCATATATTAGCTCTTAGATTTTGGTCAAGTTACCTCTTCTCCCTGAGCCTCACTTTCCTCAGCTGTAAAATGGAGATGTAGGGATTACTTTTTTATAAGTTTTTTCTGAGGATTGATGAGATAATTTACATAAACCATTTTATCTGATAAAAGGTTGATGGATATCAAATTGTGGCTGCTATTATGTATAAGGTTCATAATAGATAGATATGTATATCTAGCCATTCGTTCAGCAAATAAAATTTCAGCACCAATGATTCGTCGTCAGATACTAGTCTTAGTCCCAGAAATAAAATAGTGATCTAGACATAGTTTATGAAAGGGAGAGATTAGGGGGAACTAAACAAACTGGTAGTTTTAATGCAGTCTGAAATGCTAGGATAAGGTGAAGTTCGAAGGATGTGCATTATTTGGGTATCTGGAAATGGAGAAGGAGGTTAAGCATTTGTTAGGTTGGGGGATTAAGGAAGGCTCAGAAAGACATCATTTCTCCTAAATGGAAATTATATTGACTATATTTTTTTTGATAGATTACTCATGAGCTCTGATTATATTTTAATTTCTAACACTAGTGCTCTTTGTAAATAACCGGTTTTCAGTTTAAGTTCAACAGATAGTAAGTTACCCAGATGATAGCAGTTCTGCCTGCCAGTTTCTGATGAATATTTTTAAGAGGATAATAAGTTAGATAACTACTGTCATAGACATTTTGTATATCTTGAATAACAGTCACAAAGTAGACATACTGGCTGACCTAGAATGTGAGACCAAGAACACTTTCATTTTTTCTATTGAGTTAAAATACAAACCAGGAGCAAATGTATTCTCATTATTGGCAGTTAGGAAGGATAGAGAAAAGATTTCACCTTATGTATTATAATTGTTTTCCTTTTTTGTAGGCTGTAGAAGATGCTTTTGTACCTGTTATAAAATTTGAATTTGATGGAATTGAAGTAAGTGTTTAATATTTTTCTGACTTTCCGATTGAACTATTTAACCCATAGGGTTTTTTAAGTTGTTGTAGGTTTTTTTGTTCAGTTTTGTTTTTTTTTAAATTGGACTTAGACAGGCACGTATTTTAAAGAATCAAATAGTCTAAATGGTCCCTCACCTTCCTCTCTTGTTTATCTATTGACTTCTCACCATGGAAAATGAACCTACCTCCATGATTTTTATACACATCCTTCTCATTCCCATAATCTCCTAAGATAATTATATCATTATAATTTTGTTTAGAGCAGTATTCAGTGTTTACATTATTATGGTCTTATAAATAATGTTCAAAGATAAGCACAAAGTGTACTAGATTACCATTCTTTGCTGTGTGGCATTTTGCTTTCTTGGGAGTTAATTGTTTTGGATTTTGTTTGCTTGGTTTTTATGCTTATGACTGATTCAAACCCAGTCTCTCCTAGTTGTCTAAATCTTCTCTAAATAGATTTAGATTTCTCAGGCGTTCTGTCTTTATCATCTTGAAAAACTTATCTCACTGAGTCTTCTCACCTGTTCCAGTTCACACTGCTTGTTCTCCAAGGCTGATACACAGCTGTCATCCCGACATCTTTCTTTACTATCATCCTGGGATTTCCTTTTGCTTCTCTCTAGAGTTTTCTTCTTTCTTGACTTATTCTCATTTTAGTGGCATTCATCCACTAGCTTCCTGAAAAAGAGCACATATTTTTGAGATCTTGCATGTTTAAAAATGTCTTTATTCTGTTCTCACACTAAATCGATAGTTTGGCTGAGTAGAGAGTTCTAGGTAGGAAATGTTTCTCAGAATTTTGAAGGCCTTGCTTCGTTGTCTTCTAGCTTCCATGCTGTGTTAAGAAGTGTGATGCCATTTTGATTCCTCATCCTTTGTATGTGAGCTGTTTTATCTCTTCAATGCTTATATGATCTTTTTTTTCTTTTTCTGGTCTTCGTAGTTGTAAAATTCATGGTAGTATACTTAGGTATGTGCCTTTTCAACCAATTATGCTAGGCATTCAGTAGTCCTGTTTCAATTTGGAAACTCCTGTCCTTCAGTTCTTGGAAATTATATTGAATTCTATTGGATTTCCTGCCTTTGTTCTCTCTCTTTCTGGAACTCCTAACATTTGTATGTTGGACCTCCAGGACTGCCTTCTTTTTTTTAATGCTCTTCTTTCCCGCTTATTAACCATATCTTCATATGTTATATTCTTGTTCTGCTTTTTGGGGTTTTCTCATCTTCCAAACTTTCTATTGTTTTCTATTTCTGCTGTCATTTTTTTAATTTCTAAGAATACTTTTGTCTCTAATAGTCCTTTTTATTTATGTATTTATTTACAGCTTCCTGTCCTTATTTCCTATATGCAGTATTTTTTATCCCTGCTTTCTTAATTCTGCCGAGTCTATTACCACTTGTCCATCTGCTTTCCAGCTTTCATAGTTTTTGCTGTTGTCTCCTTGTATTCTCTGTCCTAGTGGGTTATACCTTTAAAACCAAAATAAAACTAAACAAAAAGAAAAACAAGATTTGCTGGCATTTTAGTGGAATTTCAAGAGGGAATGAATGTAAATGTGTGTTGGATCTGCCATCTTCATCTAGAAATTCACTCATAAGATTTTGATTTTTTTTTTTAATGCTTGGCATATATGCTAAAATTAAAATGCTCTTCTTTAATTTGAAAGTTTAATTACCCTCACAAAACTTTGCGCTGATGTTCCCATGTGAGATTGCCTGCATAGGCCTTTTGAAGTTTTGGTAGAACTTCCCAAACTAATTAAAACTTTTTACATTTTTGAGGGGGGGACGGGGGAGAATGGACTAGAAGGAGAAAGGGTAATATTTTTCTCTTTTTCTGCATCTTTCCAAAGATTGATCTAGTCTTTGCAAGACTGGCAATACAAACCATATCAGATAATTTAGATCTAAGAGATGACTCGCGACTGAGAAGCCTTGATATAAGGTGTATTCGCAGCCTAAATGGTAAGCTTCTAAAAAGAAATCTCAGATACCTGCTTAAAAATGATTAGGCAAATAGAGATCTTTTTGCAGAACTATTAATGGACTTGTTAAGGGATTGGAGTAACTCAAAAATAATGTTGTAATTTTCTTTATACAGATAATCTGACCACATTTAAGCATCTTAAAAAACACAAATTTATTTGAAATGTCTGTAGTAGTGGTTCTCAAACTTATTGGTCCCAGGACCCCTTTACACTCTAAAAAATTATTGAGGACCCCAAAGATCTTCTATTTATGTGGGTTATATCTGTCAATAATTACCGTATTAGAAATAAAATCTGAGAAAATTTTAAGGTATTTATTAGTTCATTCTAAAATAAGAATAATAAACCCATTATAAGTGAATATAAATACATTTTTGTGAGAATAGCATTTTTTTGCATTTTTGCAAATCTCTAATATTTGACTTAATAGAAGACAGCTAGATTCTCATATCAGCTTTTACTGTCAATCTCTTGTAATATTTTGTTTTGATTGACACATAGGAAGAAAATCTGGCATCTTAAAGAGATGTAATTGGAAAAGAGAGGAGTATTTTAATAGCCTTTTCAGATACTTGTGGATATTCTTTGATAATACTACACCAAAACTTGACCAGTGACAATTTCTTTTTTCTTTCAACAGCTCTATTTAAGGGATAATTGCACACCATAAAATTCATCTTTTTTAGGTGTAGAATTCAGTTGTCTTTAGTATATTCACAGAGTTGTGCACCAAATCCAATTTTAGAACATTTTCATCATCCTCAAAAGATCCCTCATACCCATTTACAGTCATTTCCCTTTCCAACCCTCCAGTCCCAGGCAACCACTAATCTACTTTCTGTCTCTGTAGATTTGCCTTTTCTGGACATTTCATATAAATGGGATCATACAATATGTAGTCTTTTGTGTCTGGCTTCTATCACTTAGCATAAAATTTGTGAGGTTCATCTATGTTTGTAGCATATATGGCTAGTTCTTTTTATTGTGAATAAAAGTGACCATTTTTAAAAGGTTAATTAGAATATCGAATCTAAAACCATATCAATTGACTTCTTGTACACTGTTACCTTAAAATCCATTGGTCTGTTGTGTTCTTTGAACGAGTCTTTTACCCATGCATGATTTTGTACTATCATGCCTTGGTCATTTGAAAAATACTGATTCACAAAGTTGATCTTCTAAATGTTAACACACGTTTCATTATAAAATACAAAAAAAATCACATTTAGTTCATTAATATCACCACCAGTCTTCATCAGAAAAGTCTTTAAGCATTGGAAAGCTGTGAAGCTCATGGTAGCAGGTACTAGTCCAAAATTCTAATTTTTACATGAAAGCTCAAATTTTATTATTAGCAACAAATTTTATCATTTGTTTTCCTTGAAGTGAGGGGCTCATTTTGTTCATTTTTTGGAAATGGCTGCTAAATATCCAAGTATGAATAACCATAGTTTGTCTGTCAATTATTCTTTCCAGTAAAACTGGTGTTCCTTGAAAAAAGTGGGTGGTTCAGCTTACCTTGCACATGTTCAAACATCGCACACGTTCCTTTCCTGTTTTCTAACTGCAACCGTGTGGCAGTGAAGCTATATCGCCTACTAGTACAGTTTGTTGCCATGGCTTTGATTTGTTGCAAAGGCACCAGCAGTTTTACCCACCAGTGCTTTTGCACCATCAATGCAAATGTTAACACAGTGAAACAGGCAAAGAAAGACTTAGTAGTAGCAGTAGTTTTTTTTTTTTTTTTTTTTGAGGACAATTGTCCATGAGCTGACATCTGTTGCCAGTCTTCCTCCTTTTTTCTCCCCAAAGCCCCAGTAGATAGTTGTATGTCATAGTTCTACGTCCTTCTAGTTGCTCTAGTATTATTATTAAAATAGGTTTGACCTAACAAATTCCCAGGGGTCCACAGGCCACACTTTGAGAACCAGTGGTTTATAGTATCTTTTATTTAACTTAATCATTGTGTTTTGCTGTACTTCCAAAGTGCAACAGTAAATCACAGTATTTGTGGATAAGATTTGCATTAAAGTAATAACAGTTTTATAACTTGGAGGCATTTGATTAACAGTAAAGTCAAATGTGGAAAAAAGGTGAAAAGATATTCAGACCCATCTCTTATTTTAATATAGGATTGCATTACTCATGTGCTTTTTAATTCTTTAAAAGGGAAGTGATTTCTCATGTATAAGTGCTGAATTTCAAATATATAGAAAATAAACCCTCACATTTTATTATCTTTGATATTTTTAGCATTTGAGAGTCTGGAAGTTAGAAGGGTGTTTGAATTAATTGAGCTTTGTTGCATAATGAAAAATGAATGCTTTGTCTATTTCAGGATGTAGAGTTACTGATGAAATATTGCATTTAGTGCCAAATAAAGAAACTTTTAGACTCACCCTAAGAGCAGTCAAATTATGGGCAAAACGTAAGTATCCAAAGTCTTTTATTTTATGTTTGCATTATAAAATTATTATTTTCAGTTGCTAATGATAGAAGCACACATGGAAACTCCTGAGCCTTTTGGTACTGTTAGGGATTGAGGTCCACTAAGTTTTGGAGAAGCTGTTCTTTTTCAGGTGCAATAGTTATGGTGCTCTGATGCGTGACTTCTACCTCATTCTCCCTTGGATGAAAACTAAAAGCCCCTGCCTTTCCGTCTTAGGTTTCAGCCAGGAGGTCAGAATGAATTAGAACTTGAAGAGTAAGACCCTCTCTGGTCTTTGAGCTCTTTATGGGTGGGACCATCTTACTCGTCTTTGTCTCCCCATCACCAGCAAAGAGTCTAGTTTATAATAGGTGTTCAGTAAATCTATTAAATGAAGAGCCTCCAGTGATAGTTTTAACTTGTGTTTTTTGTTTTTTTAAACCTTATAACACTTCTAATAAAGCCTGGAACTGCACTGGTTTATATGTATGGTTCAGAAAAGGTGCAATCCTGAGCTGGCACAGCACACTTTGTATTATTTGTAACTACATTTAAGTAGTGCTACACTTCTGGCACCAGGTTTTACATAGTCTAAAACAGCGCTCTCCAATAAAACTTTCTGTGATGATGGAAATGTTTCCTATCTGCTGTCCAATACAGCATTTGGCTGTTGAGCACTTGAAATGTGCATCTGAGGAACTGAATTTTTAAATTTTTTTTAAATTTTAATTTAAATTTAAAATTAAACGGTATCTAAGAGAAGTGAAAACATATATCCACATAAAAACTTGTACACAAATATTCATAGCAGCGTTATTCTTAATAGTCAAAAAGTGGAAATAACCACATGTCCATAAACCGATGAATGGATAAACAAAAGATGGTATATCAGTAATGTGGAATGTTATTTGGCAGTAAAAAGGAATGGAGTATTGATACATGTTACAACATATATGAACATTGAAACCATTATGTCAAGTGAAAGAAGCCAATCATAGAATACCACATATTGTACAATTCCATTTATATGAAATGTCCAGAATAGGCAAATCTATAGAGACATAAAGTAGATTAGTGGTTGCCTACGTCTGGGAGGATTAGGGGGAAATGGGAGTGGTGTGACTGTTAAAGGTTTCTTTTTGGGGTGAGGAAAATGTTCCAGATTATGGTGATGGTTACACAACTCTGAATATACTAGAAACCATTGAATTATATTGTTTAAATGAATGAATCTTATGGTATGTGAATGATAGCTCAATAAAGCAGTTACCAAAAAAAAAAAACAATAGCCACATGTGCCTTGTGGCTATAATATTGGACACTGCACTTCTAGAAAGACCTTAAGCAAGTAGAATTTGTCCTTGGGCTCAATTATCTTGTATCAGGATAAAGCAATTTGCAGTGAAGGGATATCACAAACAATTTGTCTTTCCTTACAGATTAAATTAAATACCATGTTTTGTCAATTCTTAGATGCATATTTTTCACATTTAACATAACTGAAATTGATATTTTGTATTTCTCTTGCTTAGACATAAAATAATGCTATATTATATAATTGAGACATCTTAGGTTTGATGAAATGTGGTAATGCTTTTTTATGGATTGTTATAAGAAACAATCATACAAGAAACGAGTAATATCAATGGTGTATTGTACTTCATGGAGAGTATCTGAATTTTGCAAAAATACTGAACTCCCCAACTTTGCATTTGATTTTAAAATGCCCATGAATATGATTACTAATGAAATGTTTATTCTTCCCTACTTGTAGACCCTCCAAATATCTTTCCTCCTTCCTTTCATTTCTCTCTCAGCTGTAGATATTGAAAGATCAGAAATTCCAATGTTATAACAGTAGAGCCCAGTTGGACAGTCAGAGCTAGTTCCCTCCAAGGCAGGGAACTGAGGTGTCTGTATTGGAGGGCAAAGTAGGGGGATAAGATGAGCAGCTTAGGTTTTACTAATAAAACTGGGCCTAGCATGAGAGTCTGCTTGTTGATTTTAATGTTGTTTCTATAGGGGAAAAGAATTCTAAGGAACAGTCTTAGGAAGGAAGTTATCCTATTCCTTACGGTTGAATGTCATCAGTAGTAGATCCTAACAATAATTAGTAAATATATTCATTTTCTAGGACGTGGTATCTATTCCAACATGCTGGGATTCCTTGGTGGTGTCTCCTGGGCAATGCTAGTTGCAAGAACTTGCCAACTATATCCAAATGCAGCAGCTTCTACTTTAGTTCATAAGTTCTTTTTAGTTTTTTCCAAGTGGTAAGTATTCATATGCATACTTTCACTATTTACCCACCTCTGCCTATATGTAAATTTGTTTGGAAATTTAAGAGCTATGCATAGACTTTTTCTTTTATGTTACATTCCTTTTTTAAGTTAGAAGTTTAAAAACATCAAATTTGAGGCAGTGATGGCTCTTTCTTCTAGGGGAGATCTGTAAATGTGGACCTGCAGCTTGAGAGAGTGGTCACGATAGATTTGGCTCTGCCAATTACTAGCTGTGTAGAGGTTGTTTAAGATCTCAACTGTAAAATGCGGATAATAATCAGAGCTCTTGGGGCTGGCCCAGTGGTGCAAGCGGTTAAGTGCACGCACTCCGCTGCGGCAGCCCGGGGTTCGCTGGTTCGAATCCCGGGCACACACCGACGCACCGCTTGTCAGGCCATGCTGTGGCAGCGTCCTATATAAAGTGGAGGAAGATGGGCACGGATGTTAGCCCAGGGCCAGTCTTCCTCAGCAAAAAGAGGAGGATTGGCAGATGTTAGCTCAGGGCTGATCTTCCTCACAAAAAAATTTTAAAAAAATAATCAGAGCTCCTGCATGGATTTGTTTGGAGTATTTTCAGTAAATATTAGCTGTTGCTGTTATTAAATTATCAGAGTTAAATCTGTGAAAGTAAATGAGAAAGAAGGAAAAATTCAGGTTTAAATTAGTTGCAGCTATTGGGCAAAGCAGTATTTGCCCTTTCAGAGAACACTGCTGCAAAATAAGCAGCTCTTTCCTCTATATGCTTCCTTACCTTGCCCCTTTCTTCTGTTTTCCCCAATATCAAATACCCAAAACATTTGCCAAATGAAAGTTGGAACAGAGTCTGATGATTTCACATTTCATGTAATTCCTGAAGTGAGGTCCTATGTGAGTTAATTTGCCTTATTCATGTTAGGGAATGGCCAAATCCTGTGCTGCTGAAGCAACCAGAAGAAAGCAATTTGAATTTGCCTGTTTGGGATCCTCGGGTATGTGACTTACGGAATTTCATTAAACCTTTTAGGAAAAGGACGATTCTCTAAATTACAGGCTAAAGATAATTCTTGTCCCTGCTCATCTTCCTTCTGTATAACTATAGTCCTTTCCCTTTCTCTGCTGTGTTTTTGGGTGCAGACAATTTATATCTCCAATGCTGATCCAAATGTTATGTCATTAAAAATCAGCCATATAAGACTAGATGAGTGGGTGTATCAACCAAAATGTCATAATCCATTGTTAAAAACTGTCTTACAAGTAATTAGTAGCTAATAATAAAGTACTGAAGTATATAAAAGATTTACTTTGCAGTGCAATTTAAAGCAGATTCGTGGTTCCAAGATAGCATAACTCTCACTCACCTTGCATTTTAATTTGCTTTTGGAGTGAGTGCGCTCATTCCTCTGAGTAACCTAGGGGAAGTCATCCTTTGAGTAGGTTCAGAGAGAAGATTGAGAAGCATTGGACCAGATAATGCTTTTTGCAGCTGATACTGTATTTCCTTCGTTCTAAAAGACCATTGTTTATAAATACACCATCAATTTAATAACCTTTCTCGGGAAAAATAAACTTCTGCTGAGTTTCCTATGATCAGACACATCTGACTTTAGAAATAAATGTAGTTGGGGAGGGGAAATGTACTTCTTAGAGTTGAGGAAATGTAGTATTAAATTTATATTTCATATTCTTCAGACTTTTGGGGAAATGAAGTGAGGACAACTGAAATAGGAGAATAGATCAATTATTCTGCTTCTAATTTCACAGGTAAATCCATCAGATAGGTATCATCTCATGCCCATAATCACCCCTGCCTACCCACAACAGAATTCTACGTATAATGTGTCCACATCAACTCGAACAGTAATGGTAGAAGAATTTAAACAAGGTAAACCTATTGGCCCTATTGCCCTTTACATATTCCCACAAGTTTTTGGTTGACAACAATTTTATTCTCTATTGCGGTTATGCCTATTACTTCTAAAAATTCTTTCAAATGTGTATTTTTTTCAGTAATTAGTGTTCCAAAATGTATGATAATATTAAGGCCAAAAATAGAGCCAGCCCAATCTGGTTGAAATTGATTTTTTACTCAAGAATTTGGTGGGGTTAGAGGTTTTGGGGTTGGATGATACAGGAGCTGATGATATGATGGTCAGTTTTTAAAATCAGTCTCTCTTTTTTAATTTAGGTCTTGCAGTCACAGATGAAATTCTTCAAGGGAAATCAGATTGGTCCAAACTACTTGAGCCACCAAATTTTTTTCAAAAGTACAGGTATTTGAAATTTTTCAGTGTGTGTGTGTTTAAAGAAGAATATTAAACCTACAAAGTTTAATATATGATAGGTGACACTTGTCACTTGTGTTTCAAGTGAGGTAGAGAATGGGTTAGCAGAAATCCTAAGTGATGAGAGTTTCTATATTCTAGTAGTATCTGACCCAATAAAAAACAATTAGTGAATTGTTTTTTAACTGCAGGTCTAGAATTAATTTTGTGAAAATTAGTGTTTTAATTTTTATAAACTGTGTGGTTGTACTAGCTCTTTTGTTCGTTGGGAGGGAAAAAGAAAAAGTAATGATGGAAAAGCAGACCCTAACAATGTTTCTGGCTTTTTTTTTTTTCTGAATGTTGCTGAAAATTCTTCTTAGACATTATATAGTATTAACTGCCAGTGCATCAACAGAAGAAAACCATCTGGAGTGGTAAGAGTTATATCTCAAGTTCTCTACCTACTGTGTGGTGAAAACATAGTTATATGGTGCTCTACCATTTACAAAACACTTTGTCTATTTTCAAAATTATTAAATCTTATTGGTGACTATTCTGCACGACCATGGAGCATCAGTGTTCAAGAAATGCCATCAGATTAATGTTTCAGAATCAGAAGTGACATGAGATAAGGATGTATGTACGAATCTTTGCCTTTTGTCACTTCTCAGAGTTGGATTTAAGCAGAATTGTGAGGCATTTTGAATGATTCTGATACCTAGCCTCTTACTGAGTTTTCCATCCTTGCCATCATTTTTCCCCATCAAAACTAGAAGGAAAAGACATTTTTATATTTTTTTAGTTTGGAGATGGTGGCGTGAAAGGTTTCACAATTTTAAGCTTCTGTCAACAAATAGGAGATATTTTTGGTCAAGGAGCAGTGCATTCTTTTTCTTTCTAGTGCACCTAAATTCATTCCCTTTGCCTCCAGTGTGTTGACATCCCAAGCTCCATCGAGCCAAAGCTGCTAGACCACCAGAGATGGTTGTGCTTTTCTCATTTCTGACTTCTGAAAAAGGAAAACAGAACAATAGTGTCTTATTTTTTCATCAAGACTTTAACGTATATTTCACTGATAATTAAAGAGACCCTGAAAAGGATCCGTTCACTAAAAGAGTATTTCATTTGTCTAGATCAAGGGTCAGGAAATGATGGTCTGGGCCAAATCCAGTCTGCCACCTGTTTCATAAATAAAGTTTTATTGGAACACAGCCATGCTCACTTATTTATATATTGTCTATGGCTGCTTTCCTGCTACACGGCAGAGTTGAATAGTTGCAATGGAAACTCGATGGCTCACAAAGCCTAAAATATTTACTATCTGTCCTTTTGCAGAAAAAGTTTGCCAACCTCTCATTTAGATAACACTGAGAGATAACTCAGTGTTTTGTATATCAGCTGTTGAAGCACACACAATTATAATTTGTAAGCTTTTTCAAGTGTTTGGAAAGTGTAAAAATATTCTTGTAGTTATTGTAACTCATAAAGTCATTAATAAGTTAATATGATAGCTGACAGCAGTCACATTTCCTAAGTGAGATAGAAAATAAAGTTGCAGAAATCTGATGAAACTTTCTATATTTTGGTAGTATCTGGTCTGATTTTAGTGAATTCTTTTTTAAATGCATTATCTAGTATCAATTTTTTGAAAACCACAGCGTGTTTTATTTCATTAATTAAGTGCCAATTATTAGGTTTTTTGTTCACGTTATTTAAACATATCTTAGCCTTAGGGTTTAGACATATGATTTGAAAGTGGGAAAAGTTTTTGTTCATGCTCAAATCGTGACTATTTTATGGTCTTAACAGGCAGGGTATTTTAGATTGGGAATGCATTAAATAGATCAGTTCTTTAAAAAAACAAAAAGGGGGAAAACACACAAATTCACTAAGTAGCTTGTCATTTACTTGAATGGTATTTTAAACAAAGTCCCTAATATATTGGACTGAATTTTTTAAATGAACTTGTAAACCATCATAACTAATATGCCGTTTGGTTTACTTGGATGTAGCTTCCCAATTTGATATGGAAAAATCTTGTCCATTGTTTTATTTTAGGGTTGGATTAGTAGAATCTAAAATCCGTGTACTTGTTGGAAACTTGGAACGGAATGAATTTATTACTCTTGCCCATGTAAATCCTCAGTCATTCCCAGGAAATAAGGAACATCATAAAGAGTAAGCTATTATTTAATATTATATTTCTTAAGTGATGGTATTTGACATATGCATTATTTAAGATCAATTGTGAGATTGTCATTTAATAGGCATTGATGGCAGGTGATACATTGTATATTTGAGCATGAGTGGTGATACATTAAAACTAAGTACAGGGGCCGGCCCAGTGGCACGAGTGGTTAAGTGCGCGCGCTCCGCTGCACTGGCCCAGGGATCGCTGGTTCGGCTCCCGGGCGTGCACCGACGCACCGCTTGTCAAGCCATGCTGTGGCGGCGTCCCATATAAAGTAGAAGAAGATGGGCATAGATGTTAGCCCAGGGCCAGTCTTCCTCAGCAAAAAAAAGAGGAGGATTGGCAGATGTTAGCTCAGAGTGGATCTTCCTTACAAAAAAAAAAAAAAACTAAGTACATGCTGTGTTGGTAGCCCACAGACCCTGGCAAAAACTCCAACACAATATTTGGAGCATCTTTAGGTATATATTTAGTAAGTCATTTTCAAAGCCATTTAATCCTCTTTATAACAGCATAGCATAACTTACCTATGTTCTTGGTGTCAGTGTTAAGAATTTGGCCAAACCATTGAAATATGTATTTATGTGTCCACAGAGACCAAGTTTTAATTGCAAAATAGCATCTGTAAAATTGTAAAAAATTTATGGAAATTCTTAAATTTTTTTTGCAGCAACAATTACGTATCAATGTGGTTCCTTGGAATAATTTTTCGGAGAGTAGAAAATGCAGAAAGTGTTAACATAGACTTGACATATGATATACAGTCATTTACTGATACAGGTAAGACTTTGTCATCGTAGAGCTGTGGTTCTCAACCTTGGCTGTAATGCAGTATCGTCTGCCTGGGATCTGGCTGGCTGTATTTTTTAAAGTTCTGCAGTTGGTTAAGTGAATATGATACATCCATATTATGAAAATGTATGCTGCAATTAAAAAAAGTAAAGGTATGATGAAACAATTTCCAAGACATTAAGTTGGCGGGAGTAGGGGGTAGGGAGATTGCAGAACAGTGTCTGTAATGTGCTGCCATTTATTATAAATATAAAGTAAAGAAAGAATATATGCATGTTTGCTTATAAATACATAGAATATCTCTGGAAGGATATATAATTTTAAAAAAAGAAACTGGCAGAACTGGTTGCTTCTAGGGCAAGGAACCAGGTATGTCTAGGGGACAGTGGTGAGGAGAGTTCACTGAATATTCTTGAATCATTTGAGTTTTGTACCATGTGAATATATTACCTGTGTTAAAACAAAAAGAAAGGCCAAAGAAACTACAGGTAATTCTTAGCATGCATAGCCAGAGTTTGTAATCACGGTCCTAAAGATGACTTGATTTTTACATTTTTTACATGAAGTAAATATCAGTCAGTCTAGGCTTTCTGAATGTGTTTCAGAATCAGTGAAAACAATGTCTTTGACATCTAGCTCCCTAATAACACCTCTCTGGAATGTCTTCTTACATCTGTTATAAATTTGGAGTCATCTTAATAATCTGGAATAGTGTACATTCATACTGTTAATATTCTTGGTTTGGCTCATCTGAGTTTTCTAAATTCTTTTGAACTAGCCATCATATTTATTATGAAAATGCAGATTCCTGTGCATCCCCTTAGAACTACTGGATCACACTCTCTGGAGTGGAGCCAGAGAATCTGGAAGTTGAACAAGCACTCCTGGTGATTTGGGCAATCTGGAGTGAAAACATAGATATAAATTTTTCCATATGGGCTCATTTTTCAAAAAGGAGAAGGTCGGGAAGCTGTGTTGATTATAGATTTATAAAATGTTCTTCTCCAGATAGAGATACTGAGGACCCAAGAGATTAATTAATTAACCACATTTTACAGTAGTTACTGTGCGAAAAGAAGCCTCCCATCCCTGTCTTTAGTAAGCTTATAATCTAATTGGATATTCACAGTTAATATAGCTGTGCATCACATAATGACATGTTGGTCAACAGCAGACCACATATACAATGGTGGTCTCATAAGATTAATACCATATAGCCTAGGTGTGTAGTAGGCTGTACCATCTTGGTTTGTGTAAGTACACTCTGTGATGTTCACACAATGATGAAGTCGCCTAACAATGCATTTCTCAGAACGTATCTCCATTCTTAAGTGACACATGACTGTACATTAAGTAATTTATGTGGTAGTTAATAAAACTGATTTTCTTATAAGATATGAAAAGCAGAAGAATGAGAATCTAGGGCTGTGTGTATTCCAATCCCAGCAAGGTGTTCAGGGCTATTGAACCTCATCTCCTCACCTGTACAGTAACGATGTACTTCTAGATGGTTTCTGATATCTGATGTTCTATAATTGGTGTAGTAAAAGAAGCTTCATGGGAGAGGAGAGCTTGAATTGCATGTTGGGTGTTTGGTATAAGGATTAGCTTAGACTTGGGCAAATAATTATAAGAAGAGATTGCCTTTTGGGAAAATAGCAGATAAGCACTTAAGATTTGGAAAAACCCTTTTTTCATACATCTGTTTTGTTAATGAGATTTGACTGTGGGAAACTCTTAGAAGTTGGACATGAGAAAACTAGTTGGTACTTGAATAGGATTGTGACATGGTGACATAATTTAGAAATAATTTGTTCTGTAAAAGGGGTGTGTGTTTGTGTAGTGGTGGAGAGATATCAAAAGTCTGCATTTCAGAAAAAGAAAACAGAGTCCTTGGTTCAGAAAGATGCTTCCCGTTTGATAACATATTGACATTGTTGCAGTGTACAGACAGGCAAACAATATAAACATGCTAAAGGAAGGAATGAAAATTGAAGCAACTCATGTTAAAAAAAAACAACTTCATCACTACCTTCCAGCAGAGATTCTTCAAAAGAAGAAAAAGGTGAGTTTGTAATCTTAACTTTCCAATGTGGTTCCACTCACACAAATGATCCTGGGACCAAATATGCATTCTTACAGTTCCCAAACCTATTGAGAAGAAAGAGGGAAGGTACAGGCAATTCAATCTAGGACTAAAAACTCACCTTTATTAATCACAAAAGATAATTTGTTTTATATGTACTTCAGAATTGAAACCAGTTATTATTCTCGTTTGCTTTTTGAAATCCTAAAAGCTTTCTTCTCTTTCAGCAAAGTCTTTCTGATGTCAGTCGAAGTTCGAGTGGACCTCAATCCAAAAGATCGTCTCTGGATAGCAGTTGTTTGGATAGCTCCAGAGACACCGATAATGGAACACCTTATAATTCTCCAGTGTCTACAAACAAACCTTCCAAGCCTGATATTCCTCCTTCAGGAGAAACAGACAGGTCTGTATTTCAGAATTGTCCTTTCGGTCTTCAGATTATTTGAGGATAATGTAAACTTTTCTATACCTTTGCTAAATACCTTTTTTAATTCTTAAAAGATTTTATTTTACCAGCTGCTAGTCAGTTTCTTGTTTAGAAATACTTGACAATTTTTGGTAATCCTGTGGGACATGGTATACATTTATGGATGTGTGGGACTAGATAAGTACACAGAAACACACAGGTTTTCTATTTAATTTTTTGTCTTAATACTCACTGGGTCCTCTGCCTTTTTCTCCTCTTTATCTCTTCCTTCAGTGAAATGTTAAAGTAGGAGAACTTGAAAGAAGTAATCCTAAATGTTGAGTGTTTTAAATAAGTAATATTTAAATCATTTAATGATGATAGTTTAATACTTTTAATAGGAATAATGCTGAGCCTGCTGCCGTAATTGTGGAAAAGCCACTGAGTATCCCGCCAGCTCAAGGACTGTCTATTCCAGTCATTGGTGCAAGTAGGTATCTACACTTTTGTTGGTAATGGTTCTACTGTATATATATTTAATTACTAAAATCTTTCTTTTTTCCTTTTCAGAAGTTGACTCTCCAGTAAAAGCTGTATCACCCCCAGCTGTGTGCACAATTCCTACTGTAGTAGGACGAAATGTCATTCCTAGAATCACAACACCCCACAACCCTGCCCAGGGACAACCACATCTAAATGGAATGTCAAATAATATAGCTAAGAATGTTACACCCAAGAGATCCCATTCCCCATCCATAGATGGGTCTTCCAAGAGGTTGAAAGACATAGAAAAGGTAAAGCTACAACTTTAGTGGTGATTCAGTGCTTGATTTTTTTAAAAGTTAACTTAAAATAGTACTAAAAACTCACAGTTCTCCATAGCTATCTTAGTGTTCTATTAGGATTTGACTGTTTAAAAAGAATATTTACCCAAATCTTAAAGGAACAATACTAATTGTTCATCCTAAATTCAAATTACTAACGTGTCTGAAAACTGGAATGATTGGTCTAAGTTTCTCCTTGACTTACACAGAGGTCATTATTGGTTACTAAATAATCATTTATTATGTGTCATAATGTTGATCTCCTCTGCCTCCAGTAGGTGGTGGTAAAACTATTTTATTTGTTATAATCTGAATTAATTTAACCAAAAAGATAACTCAAACTGTAGAAGTTAAAGATGGTAGTTGAATTCAGTCTAATTTAAATTCTCTTACCTCACCAACCCATTTTTGTAGTTTTGATGATAGCCTAATCACTAATTCATTTCTCAGTTTGTATAGACTTGTATGGTTTTTGTAGGTAATGATAGAATAATTTTAATGTTTATATTTTAGTTTATTCGACTTGAGTCAACATTTAAGGAATCGCGTGCTGCTGAAGACAGAAAAAGAAAATCAATGGTAAATATGTTAATAATATACTTCAAAATTTTTACTGTTAAAGAGCCATGAATCAGGAGAAGTACCAAATTCGAAAATGGATCAGATTAGATCTGTCAGATTTTGGTTATGTTTTATTTCATGTAGAAATAAGTATTTGCTTATAGCAAAGAAAGTTGTCACTTGTATGTAATTCTTCTGTTTTTAGGATACCATTGGAGGAGAATGTATGCCTATTCCAACTATTGATACATCACGCAAAAAGGTAACAGTCTTATTCATTGGTAGGATACATAGGTAAAAATTCATAATCTACAGCCTAGCACTGGGTGAAGGAAAGGGGTAATGAGATTTTGTCCCTGTCCACGAAGACCAGCAGTATAGTTGGCAGTTGGGGCTGGAAATAGCCAACAAAGTGTATGGTCCTAAATGTATGTCTAGAAAAGAGGGGGTAGTTTAAGACTTCATGATTTATTCAGATTATGTTCAACCTTTGTTTTTTATTTATTTTTAAAGAAGCAGTTTAGTGCTCAGCACAGTAGTTTCTTACCAACACTTGATATTACATCTTTTGTTGTGTACCACTGCTTACTGTGAAAATTTAGGTTTGATAATTAGGAACCATACTTAATAATTTGGAGGAACCAAATGTACCAGTGTATAGTAAGTACCTTTAAAACAAACTTAAAAGCCCCTAAATCTCAATTTAAAAATTTATTTTTCAAAGAATTTCCATTGAAACTAATAATATAGTATTTTTAAGCATGGTAAGCTAATAAGCAGGTGATCAAAAATCAGCCTTGTGTATATCAGAGAAAGCCCTTCTCTGAGAGTTGACAGTGAACACAATGGCTTATTTTCACCCCCATTAAAGAATAAAGTGCTTCTTATCACAATCAGCTGTCACCCTGCCAGGTTCCGCAGGATGTATTGGCCATTCTAAAGCAAAATATAAAATGTCTTCATACTTTCTATTAGTTGTAGCACTTGTAAAATTTCTTTTAACATAAAAGTGAGTTACAAAAAATATGGGCATATAATTACATTACGTGTGATAATGGAAGAAAAAAAATTTGAGATGGAGAGTGAAGTCTGAAAGTGTGAAATAACATATCTGGGTTTTGCTTTAAAATATTTCAAGTATAAAGGGTAAGGGCATAAACCAAACATAGCAAAATTTTAATAATGTTCTGAGTCTTGGTTGTAGCACCTAAGTCTTCATTCATTGTCCTATTCTCTACTTTTATGTATGTCTGAAGTTTTTCATGCTTTTTGAATGGATGTGGGTGTGAAGTAGATATTTGTTTAGCCAAGGTAACATGAGAGGAGAGTTAACTCTTGCAGCCATCTGTTGACGAGAAGCTAACATAGTGTTTCCGTCACACAACTGTCTGTATTTTTGAGGTCTGTCTTTGTTTCTCAATTTCTTAGACTTTGCTTTCCTTATATAATAATCTTTAGCATCCTCAAAAGCCCTCCTACAGATGTCCCTAAATTTCACCATCACTGAAGTTACCCAAGCCTGACTACAAAGTCAGTTTTCCTGAAAACTGAAGTATCTCACAAGTTGGGTTAGTGTCCTTCTCCATGAATGTATTATAAAAACTAATTGAGGATGTAATTGGGTATCAGATTCTCCTCTGTAACACACTCGTTTTTCACCTTGCACTCCAAAACTTTCCTGGTTAGAGGCCGTGCGCTTCCTGTTCCTCTTTACCGTTGCCTGACTTTGGGGAAGACTGTGTCTTTTAGGCATTTCTCAGTTTGGAAGTGACAGTTGATTTAACAAAGTCCTCTTTCCTGTACATACACTCCTCCCGCCTCTACCATTTCGCTATCCCTCTGCTTTTCACCTCTGACTGTATATATAAACAAAAAAAGTCCCCCAAACAGGAAGTGCCTGTGAAACATTGAGAGAAGATATTCAACACAGACATAGGAGCTTAAGACATTTAGAGAAAAATTCAGTTTTATGACTGATTTACTAGTTGGGCCTTTGTAACATATAGTTGCTTTTCCCTCTTTGTTTCTCTTTCCTTCTAATAGAGACTACCCAGTAAAGAACTACCAGATTCATCATCTCCAATTCCAGCAAATAACATCCGTGTCATCAAAAATTCCATTCGACTGACCCTTAATCGGTAAAAGCAGTGCCTCCTTACTTAAGTGAATATGCAATCATTTAGTGGCATAGATGCAGCCACTCTTTTTAAAATAGAAGTGGCTGCCATACATAAAATAAGGTGAAAGTTACAGTCATCAGCCTAACGACCTTGAAGTGGTTTTTGAACTCTCACACTTTGACCTGCAGATGCTGTAGCATTCTCTCACTGATTGCTACATACACCTCTCTGAGGATCACCTGCTATCAAATTGTCATCTACAATAGTATGGCTTTGCGTTGGAGGTTTTACTGCCTTAACTTTCGATGCTTGTTTCTCTGTTATGGGAACCAGTTCTTGGCTCTTCGGACACTTGATAAAACAAGTCCTGAACTCCTTTTTTTTTTTTTTTTTTTTTTTTTTTTTTAAGTCTTACGTTGTAATCATTGTATAGAACTGAAAAAGTTGAAAACAAAAAAAAAATTGTCTTGTAATTTTCCAAATGTTAACACATTTACTTTAGCATTGAAGCCACTTTGTGAAACCTGAGATAAATGAATGTGAGGTATCTTTTTGCCTTTCTTCATTTGTGTAGATGTACTTATTGTCTGTTCTGTTGATTTAAATTATTTTTCTCCAGATCGGCACATGGAATATTTAATTTTTTATTTTTTTGTGCCTTTCTGTCCAAATGTTGCATAGTTACCAGGGAGGATTAGTCCAGTGATTACATAAGAGTTGGGCACCATAAATTCTCTATATTTTGCCTCCTGTGGAGGCCTTCAAAGTGCATCTTTATTAAGAATCAAAATATAACCAGGATACTGAAAGTCAGTATATGAATGGTGAAATTGTTACATATCCTATCTCATGCCATACTTGTTAGTTGACTGGTATTTTTTACCGAGGAGCAACTCATTCCGGCATCAACAATAAGATACCTTTAAGTATGGCAAACTTGTAATTCTGAGGTGTAAAATTAACTTGGCATGATAATTCCTGATCGTTACCCCACAACTTCAAACAGTTTCTTCATGGACTAGGCATGCAGAAATAAGTAGTGGATTTTATTGAAACCTAAAGGCATTTTTGAATGACATTGTTACCAACCATTAATTGGCTCAGGACCTTTGTAATTTTTATTTAACTACATAAGTTGTCTTTTTTTACACTGCTTTTTTCAATGCATTTCTTAATATTTTTTAAGTTTCATGAATGCATGCTCAGTTTATTAAAATCCATAACCATGTAATTCTTGTAATATGTTGATTCAGTGTTTTGTAAATGAAGTCGTATGTATTTTCAGAGTATTTTTGTATGTACTGTAAGATACCATCTTTTCAAAGAGAAAACTTTAAAACCTTTACTGTCTCTCTTTAATTTTTTAAATATGGATTATGCTTGAATTATTCTTAAAATGAAAATGTATAGATTGCACAGCCAGGAATGCTGGTATATGTTACCTTTTTCAGCTTTCACTCAGCATTTAGTAGGTCCAGTAGGAAAACACAAAATGGTACATTTGAATGGTAGAGGGAAAATACTTGGTTGTGTATTTTATAGGACTCATGGGACACCATTTAGCCAGTGGAGTAATAGTCCATTTTCTCTTGCAAGCCCTTTACCATTGAGTTGAAATACTTGAATTCTGATTGTCAGAGAGTAGTATCTTTTTCCCACTCCTGTTCCCTGACCCTTGGGTCTCTGAAATGGAAATTATAGTGTTTAACTTTTACAGGAAAATTTCTTAAAAGTAAAGAAGAGCAAGGAAAATATAATAGTTGTTCCATTATTCACTTTTTACATAGCAAAAGACAAAAATGAAATCCTGTAACCAAGTTGTAGCTTCCTTGGCAAAGCTGTTCTCCTAGCTGACCCTTTTCCTTTATTCAGATATTTTGAGCTTTGTTCTACAAATACTCTGTTTAAGCAAAAGTGAATGATTATGAAAAGAATGAATAATTGTCACCTGACTTTAAACTGAAAAATTCTTTAGTAAGGGATTTGATTAAAATTTATATATGATGTGTTTACATTTCTGTATTTAATATCCAGCTGTTACCCCCTTCTATTATCAGTCTTCAAAGTCTCTTTAAGAATTCCCTATGTATCCATGCTTACCCTGTTATATAAACAGATTCTTCGGTGTGACTAATGAAGTTTTTCTTTAACAAGAAGGCAACTATAGTGTTGTCATTTCTGTTGTTTTAAGGATCCGTTTAACATAAGGTTAAGACATAGCCAATGGTTCAACATTAGACTCCTCAAAGAACGCATTCTTCAACCTGTTTGGTAACTGGGGAGTTATCAAGCCTCATGATGAGATGCTTTTGAGATGGTGGGTTTGGTCAGAAATGAAGTGTTTTCTATCCTGTACAGTAGGTAGAAAGTGCAGTATATTCTGTTACCATAGTAGGAGACCTCCGTTGTACTGGTTCCAAGTAAGTAAAAGGGGAAGGTATGGTCTGGGATCATATGTTATGTTCAGAGACAAGAAGTAGATGTGTTTGGTTTCAAGTGTGAAACTAAACCTAGAATGTTTTATGAAGTCAAATAACCTGTTCTTCAATATGTAGACACATGTTTATTTTCCCAAGGGTATTAAATTTTTAATCTGTTCATTTTTCAGTGACTGGCTCTGAAGAATAGTATATATCAAAGGAAAACATTTTATCTGCTAGTTTAAACCTTAGGGACTTAACTTATTTAAGAGATAGGGTATATGGCTTAAACCTTATAAAATTGGGGCAGAAGAATGAATTTTAAGACTATGTTGGTGCTTGTAATGAGAGTAATTTTGTCTTAAGGCAACAATTTAGTAACACTAAAATGTTTGCTATAGTAGGAAATGTTGCTACTATAGTGAGGATGGGCTGTGTTGAAATGGGCTAAATTTATTTTGCACTGTGTCCCACAGCTTTGAAATAGGAATTCCTACCTTAGGGATCATGGACTCCAGGGAATCCTTTGCAAATGTATATAAGAAGTGTTTGTTTATATGCATTTTTCTGGGGGAAAGTTCACAGTTTTCATCAGCTTCTCAAAGTGGTTCATGAGCCTAAAAAAAAGAAAAGGGTTAGGAACCACAGCTTTCCAGGATTGAATAATCCCAGACTCTGGAATTTTTTCATAAAGTTTCTCTGGTATATTTCTGAAGATGTACTATGGCTCTTAACTAGTAAAGTGGGCTGATGGAGGACTCTGGAACACAAAATTTCTCTCCAAGTTTCTTTATATATTTCAGATGAAACATCAGTATTTAGAAAAATGCTTACTATTGGATTTATAAATGTTGTCCTGTTAACTTAGATTGATTAACAGGGTCAAACTTTAGTTCAACAAATTTCAAACTGATTGATCAGAGTAGAATAGCTTAGAATGATCATTAGAAATGGTAAAAAAAAAAAAAAAAAATCATTAAAGATCCTAGTCGTTTGATTTCAGTAGCATTAAAGTTCTCTCTTGTTCCTCCATGTTTGTGGTTCAGACCAGAACAGACTGAGCAGACCAATAAATAGAACTTTAGTTTAAGAAAAAAGTTTTATAAATAAAATTGTGCTTCCTCCATGTTTGTGGTTCAGACCAGAAGAGACTGAACAGACCAATAAATAGGACTTTAGTTTAAGAAAAAAGAATTTTATAAATAAAATTGTGCTTCCTCCATGTTTGTGGTTCAGACCAGAACAGACTGAACAGACCAATAAATAGAACTTTAAGAAAAAAGAATTTTATAAATAAAATTGTGTGCGTGTTTAAATAAATAACTACCTATTAAATAATTTTCCAAAGCTTAAAATTTAGGTCATGATGATAGTGATAAATCATGCAGATGATGGAAGACAACCGGTCTCAATAATAGTAACTATTTCCTTAGGATTTTTAAAAAGAATTGTGCAAGATCAGATGCTTCCCAAATTCCCTATTTTTTCTGAAATAATTTTTCTGATATAATTTTGTATTTGAATTTAGTTGAACATAAGATTATCAGGCTTGCTATAATTTTTAAGCTGTTGCTGCGTTTTAGCAAAGACCCACGTAATTACCTTATAAAGTACTTAGGATATCTTTGAGGTAAATGGTGCTACGTCACTCCACAGTATTATGTAAAATGAATGCAGCTGCTGTTCCTTTCTAGCTAGCTGTTGTGTAGTTCATATTAATTTTTCCTGCCTTTTATTTGGATTGTCTTATTTCTTAGTTGTACACATGAGCCTCATTACTTGTCTGGAATAAGTACTCAAATAAACTTGCTTTGATAAATAGCTGTTGATGATTGACTGATATTATTTGGGAGTAACTCAAAAGTACCAGGCATCTTTACTTAGTTATTTTTCAAACTGACAGCCAATTTGGTCATTTACTCCTCAGACTCTTTGGCAGATAATGGTATCCACTACCTGCTTAATAGGAAAGCAGAACTCATACTCAATTTGCCTCACATAGAATCACTTATTAAACATTTATTGGCAAAAGCACAACAGTAGCGTCTTCCTCAAGTATTGGAGGCAAAGTTCTGTCACCCTTGTGGTCAACATCAGGTGACCAGAATCCTCTGCTAATGGCTGGACAGAGGTGCATTTAGCAATCAGGCCTTGGGTACTGTCTACAGAAGTGCATGCTACAGAGCTTGTTACATTCTTGTCAACGAACAGTGACTTGTTTTTAGTCAATCCACGTATCTTGAACACTAGTACTGAATTCAGAAATAACCTGTGTCTACATCATTAAGATTATTAGCAAGGCACTCATGGCCCCAGTGGAAGCACATCTGACGTTTATTAAGCTAATTAGCAAAGCCTCCTATGTTGAGTGAGCTATGGATAACAGAAGGACTTCTAGTAGTCAATTGTGAAGTGGGGCCTTCCTGATTGGATTGCCAGCTGACCTTCCCTAGAGCATGAATTTCTGATAAGGGCAACTCATTGTTCCTAGGATATAACTAACACAATTATCGCACTATGCTGAAATGTTTTAAAGTAAGTTAACACCATAACAGGTTCTTTGTGGATCCGGATGCATTAAGGTATTAAGGGCAAAATAGAATTTATTGCTTGTATTTATTTATTTTAATTTTTGTTATTGCAGTAACATTGGTTTATAACATTGTATAAATTTCAGGTGTACATCATTATACTTCTATTTCTGCATAGATTACATCATGTTCACCACCCAAATACTAATTACAGTCCATCACCACACACATGTGCCAAATTATCCCTGTCGCCCTCCTCTCTCCCCTCCTCCCCTCTGGTAACCACCAATCCAATCTCTGTCTCTATGTGTTGTTTTTATCTTCTATTTATGAGTGAGATCATGTGGTATTTGACCTTCTCCCTCTGACTTATTTCACTTAGCATAATACCCTCAATGTCCATCCATGTTGTCACAAATTGCTGTAGTTCAGCCAAAATACTACGGCTGAGTAGTATTCCACTGTGTATATATACCACATCTTCATTCATTCATCCCTTGATGGGCACTTAGGTTGCTTCCAAGTCTTGGCTATTGTGAATAATGCTGCAATGAACACAGGGGTGCATGTTTCTTTACGCATTGGTGTTTTCATGTTCTTTGGATAAATACCCAGCAGTGGAATAGCTGGATCGTATGGTAGTTATATCCTTAATTTTTTGAGGAAATTCCATACTGTTTTCCAGAGTGGCTGCACCAGTTTGCACTCCCACCAGCAGTGTATGAGAGTTCCCTTCTCTCCACATCCTCTCCAACACTTGTTGTTTCTTGTCTTGTTAATTATAGCCATTCTGACCTGCGTGAGGTGATATGTCATTGTAGTTTTGATTTGCATTTCCCTGATAGTTAATGATGTTGAACATCTTCTCATGTGCCTTTTGGCCATCTGTATATCTTCTTTGGAGAAATGTCCAGGTCTTTTGCCCATTTTTTAATTGGGTTGTTAGTTTTTTTGTTGTTGAGATGTATGAGTTCTTTATATATTTTGGAGATTAAGCCCTTATCAGATGTATGGTTTGCAAATATCTTCTCCCAATTGTTAGGTTGTCTTTTCGTTTTGTTGATGGTTTCCTTTGCTGTGCAGAAGCTTTTCCGTTTGATGTAGTCCCATTTGTTTATTTTTTCTGTTGTTTCTCTTGCCTGGTCAGACATGGTGTTTGAAAATATGTTGCTAAGACCAATGTCGAAGAGCGTACTTCCTATGTTTTCTTCTAGAAGTTTCATGGTTTCACGTCTTACATTCAAGTCTTTAATGCATTTTGAGTTAATTTTTGTGGGTATGGTGTAAGATAATGGTCTACTTTCATTTTTTTGCATGTGGCTGTCCAGTTTTCTGAACACAATTTGTTGAAGAGACTTTCCTTTCTCCATTGTATGTTCTTGGCTCCTTTGTT